CTTATCCAGAGCGACTTACAGGAGCAATTAGGGTTACGTGCCTTGCTTAAGGGCACATCGACAGATTTTTCACCTAGTCGGCTCGGGGATTAGAACCAGCGACCTTTCGGTTACTGGCACAACGCTCTTACCCACTAAGCTACCTGCCGCCCCATTCTAAAAGCGGCATAAAAACAATATGCACATTTTCCCACAAAGATGTATTTCCATTAAATGTACTTGTTGCAGATAAAAGGCTGTGCATGATGACATAATGCACATAAAAATACATTTTGCGGTTAAATTCCCATGTACCTAATAAAAAATACAAGATAAATGGGTTTCCATAGCATTTTCAACTCTACTGATGGTTTCCCCACCATTTTCTTTGGCATTATAAACTCCCCTTTTCAGGACCCTGTTTTTCAAAGATAATTCGTAAAAATCCAGATAACTTCACAGATCTTCATTGTAAAGGGTTTAAACACTGTTTACCCATGCTTGTTCAATGAACCATAAACAATTAATGAACATGCACCTGTGGAACAGTCGTTAAGACACTAACAGCTTACAGACGGTAGGCAATTAAGGTCACAGTTATGAAAACTTAGGACACTAAAGAGGCCTTTCTACTGACTCTGAAATACACAAAACGAAAGATGCCCATGGTCCCTGCTCATCTGCATGAATGTGCCTTAGGCATGCTGCAAGGACGCATGAGGACTGCAGATGTAGCCAGGGCAATACATTTCAATGTCCGTACTGTGAGACACCTACGACAGCGCTACACGTAGACAGAACGGACAGCTGATCGTCCTCCCAGTGGCAGACCACGTGTAACAACACCTGCACAGGATCCGTACATCTGAACATCACACCTGTGGGACAGGTACAGGATGGCAACAACAACTGCCCGAGTTACACCAGGAACGCACAATCCCTCCATCAGTGCTCAGACTGTCCGCAATAGGCTGAGAGGCCGGACTGAGGGCTTGTCGGCCTGTTGTAAGGCTGGTCCTTACCAGACATCACCGGCAACAACGTCGACTATGGGCACAAACTAACCGTCGCTGGATCAGACAGGACTGGCAAAAAGTGCTCTTCACTGACAAGTCGCGGTTTTGTCTCACCAGGGGTGATGGTCGGATTCGCGTTTATCGTCGAAGGAATGAGCGTTACACCGAGGCCTGTACTCTGGAGCGGGATCGATTTGGAGGTGGAGGGTCCGTCATGGTCTGGGGCAGTGTGTCACAGCATCATCGGACTGAGCTTGTTGTCATTGCAGGCAATCTCAACGCTGTGTGTTACAGGGAAGTTACATCCTCCTCCCTCATGTGTTACCCTTCCTGCAGGCTCATCCTGACATGACCCTCCAGCATGACAATGCCACCAGCCATACTGCTCGTTCTGTGCGTGATTTCCTGCAAGAGAGGAATGTCAGCTTTCTGCCATGTCCAGCGAAGAGCCCGGATCTCAATCCCATTGAGCACATCTGGGACCTGTTGGATCGGAGGGTGAGGGCTAGGGCCATTCCCCCCAGAAATGTCCGGGAACTTGCAGGTACCTTGGTGGAAGCAAGAACTGGCAAATCTGGTGCAGTCCATGAGGAGGAGATGCCCTGCAGTACTTGATGCAGCTGGTGGCCACACCAGATACTGACTGTTACTTTTGATTTTGACCCCCCCTTTGTTCAGGGACACATTATTCCATTTATGTTAGTCACATGTCTGTGGAACTTGTTCAGTTTATGTCTCAGAATCTTGTTATGTTCATACAAATATTTACACATGTTAAGTTTGCTGAAAATAAACGCAGTTGACAGTGAGAGGACATTTCTTTTTTTGCTGAGTTTATATTAAGTGTGCCCACTCTGGTATTGGTAAGGGCACTCTAGCCAACAGCACTATCTGTGCGCTGTTGGCTAGCGCGCACGTATAGTCCACATGATGAGATTATATGGACAAAAGAGCAAGACCATTATTATTTTCTGAAACGCCAGCCAAGCATCAATTATCATGTCACCAGAATAAGACCCTAGATATTTATTGGAAAGGAGAATCAAACTCATCACCGTACACTTTCACCACCCTGTGAAGTTCATCATCATTTATTTCATCTGTAGCTTAACAAACTGCATGCTTTCCCGACGAGTCATAGTGGGAGAACCACACAACATGTCATCGCGTGACTCCAAGTTGACTTCAATATGATGGTTATTATAGCAATATTTGCGCATAAAAGCATTTCCACCGACATTTCTCGCATAATTGATTTTACCCACACAAAAAGATCGCACCTTGTCTAGCTTATTTTGTTTTGTTGACATTTGGAAAATGTCAGGCCTGTCATGACATTTTTTATCCAACATGTATTTTACTCACATAAAAAATGTGGATGGAAACCTGGTTAGTGTTGAATAGTTTGTGCTTACTGGCTAGTGGCTACGGTGATATTTACTGTCAATTTGAGCTGTGGACCAAGAATGTCGCGTTGCCAGCCACAATTAAAGGTAAGGCCGTAATGCGAATTTAAAAGTAGAAATGTCTTTCGTCACTCCGCTCCTCTGACTCTCCTTCATATCTCGTAGTGGGGCAACGGCGAGCGAGCAAGAGAGAGAGAGAACATGACACATTACAAAAAAGAGGCTACAAAAACAACAAGCTTTAGACATAGTACAGCTTGGCCACAGTACAGGGTGGCCCACATCGTGTCCTTTAAATAACTGAAATACCAGTCCATACGGATGCCAGGGCAGGGTCTTGAGAAGTAAGGAAAGGGGCTTATTTGGCCAATCTTTTAAGAGCATAGGAGCTGTGCTTTTAGAGGGGGGGGGGGGGGGGGCTGTGTATCAGCCAGATACATTTAGGCCACTCCATCCTATAGCTACTAGTCAGACAGAGCCCTACAGAGAAAGGAATTAGGTTATACAGGCAGGGAGAATATGGTACCACACAGAGGTTTACCATGATTTACTGATCAGATCAATCTAGCTAGGCTAGGGAGACCAGCTAGCACCAGACCACAGGCTTGTCACTCTGACAAATCCTCACACACATCCCCTGATTCTCTCTCCTATGGAGCGAGAAGGATACAGGCAAGGGGAGGTTAGAAAAAGGAGAAGCGGAGAAAAGAGGAAAAAGAGCCTTCTAATAACTGTCTTTGCTCATACTGAAAGCGCTTTGTTTAGCACACATAGACAGCTTTTTTCTGTAACCCTGCAATGACACAGGAAATCGAAGTGTTGGTTGGTTGGTTGCACTGCAGGGCCAATCACCTGCATAGCAACTGGCCAGATAGGAAAGACTAAAGACCACAAAGTGAAACAGAGCGGGATTCACCTGACCAAACAGTGAACAAGCTCTGCAGTTAACTGGCAGAGCAAACCTGCGGTGGGCTAGGCATACGCTCCGTTGGCGCTACAGTCTGTCAGAAACATTCAACTAAAACCCTTTGATGCACATGTAAATGACTTGGGCGAATGTGTACGATTATGGTCACCAATTTGACTAGCATAAAATTAATTCTGCTGAATTACACACAGAAAATAATTTTGCATGCAGCTGGTTGGGATTTCATCACTGTTGTTCAACATGATGCATTATCATAACATTCTAATTTTAACCATGGTCCGTCATGTGGGCATGTTCCACCATCGGTTCCATTCTCCCTCTTTTCCAGGCCAAACACATGGCTCTCTCACACACACACACCTCCACACACCATTCTCACACTCGTCCTCACACAAACGTACACACACAGGTCCCCGCGGCCAGCGGGGCGACAGAGCAGAGCAGACTGATATGACCTAGTTTCTATTCAAGCCCAGTCCCTCTCTTTGTTCCTCAGCCGCCTCCTGCTCCACAAAGAGCCTTCACAATTTACCCTATACCCGAATTGAGAAAGAACCCTGAAAAAATACTTTACAGTACTACTTAAACTTTTACTTCACTACATTCCTAAAGAAAATAATGTACTTTTTACTCCATACATTTTCCCTGACACCCAAAAGTACTCGTTAGATTTTGAATGCTTAGCAGGACAGGACAATGGTCCAATTCACACACAAAGAGAACATTCATTGTCATCCCCACTGCCTCTGATCTGGCCGACTCACTAAACATACACTATAATACACAAAGATATGTGGACACCCCTGCAAATTAGTGGATTCGGCTATTTCAGCCACACCCGTTGCTGACAAGTGTATAAAATCGAACACACAGCCATGCAATCTCCATAGACAAACTTTGGCAGTAGAATGGCCTTACTGAAGAGCTCAGTGACTTTCACGTGGCACCGTCATAGGATGCCACCTTTCCAATAAATCAGGTCATCAAATTTCTGCCCTGCTAGAGCTGCCCCAGTCAACTGTAAGTGCTGTTATTGTGAAGTGGAAATGTCTAGGAACAATTGGGTACTTTTTCCACTACTGAGTAACATACATGCTGTTGCTGAGGATGACACTCGACTCATGTAGTCCTCTGCTCTAGACCTTGAGGCTCAAAGAGCCATTGAGAATAACCTGTTAGTTCAAAGGAAAGTTTAGGCTCCAAAATTATCAGCACTGTTGAAGTTGGCCCCTCGAAACTGACCTTATCAGCAACCACATCCAAAACCTGCCTGATGGACCAGCATGTCTCTCCAGTATATCTCCCTGTGTCTGTCCTACAATCACACTCAATTACAGGACCCTACATTTTACCAGCGACGCTATGAACACCTCATTAAGTCTTTAATGGCCTAACACATACAGAGGAGAAACATCAACTCTCCCAAAAAACACCTCTGTACCAAAGCTTGCTGAACAGAACAGAAACAGATTCCCTAGATCCAAGGGTAATTGTGGGGGTTTTAATAATATTCACCTGCAGCCACTGTTGCTGCTCTTGTCAAATCTAGGAAATGAGGCAAAAAGTATTAAAGGCAATGGGGTGGAATAAAGCCGCATTCTCCACGGGTGCTGATGAATGAAGGCAGCTCCGCAGGAGACAGTGGAGGAGAGACGCTCCATCACTCAACATCTAATCTGACACTATCTGACAGGAGGGAGAGAGAAAGAGATGGGAAGGACACTCATACGCTAATGTCTTCCCGCTAGCCAGGGAAATGGATGAAAAAAAGGATGATGGATAGATAAAGGGTTGTAATAATCGGTTCCCATTTAAGAACAGCAGCATCATACTATCTCTTACCTGCATGTGTTCAGTAGAGCTGCTGCTCAGGTCATCTCCAGACTCCGAGTCGTTACGGAGCTTCTCTGACCCCTCCCCCGGGGAGTCCCCAGAAGAGGAGAGAGTTCGGTCCGAGTCATGGCTCTGGCTGTGGTTTATATGGTGGTTCTTGGGGGCCCTGGGGGGCGGAGAGTCCGCCCGCATATGCGGTAACGTGGAGTTGTTGCTGTGGTGATCGTTATTGTTGTTGTGTAGGAGCACCAGATCGGCTACGCCGGGGGGCTTACTGTGCCGCGGCCTTCCCGGGTTCTGGTTGGCATCCTTGGGCAGAGCAGGCGGGGTAATGTGCCCCGAAGAGGGTGAGGGCGTGGAGGTGGGCGTTGGACGCCCAAAACTAGACATCTCCTGAGGTGGCCTGTTGTTGAGGTTCTCGTTGGACGCGCTACAGATATCCAGAACTGTAGGCTTTACCCGGATCGTCCCACCCATCCCGCCCGACACGAGGGGCTTCGGTGGGGGCATCAGCGCCCGGCGCACCTCCCTGACGTACTGTGCTGGGACATAGAAGGCTTTCATCCCCTCTTCCTTCCGTACCTGCCACCAGTCCTCGTTGGTCTTCCTGACCAGCATGTAGCACTCCCCCTGCCTGATGGAGATCATCTTATCTTTAGCCTTGTACTCATAGTCGTACTCCACCTCGACCGAGGCGAGGATGGGCAGATCAACCCCACTGCCACCAAGCCCCTCACTGTCAGCCATGATGGTGTTGACCACTGACCTCGTTGACTCCTGACCTCTGACCCTTTAACCTCTGACCTTTAGGTGATGTTCAGAATCAGAAAGCTGGGGGGATTGACATCTCTCACTGGGCTCCCCTAGACTTCAGGAAGAAGAGAAGGAAAGGTTTCAGTTAGGTTTCAGTTATTATTTTAAGCATTTGACTGCATTATTTGTTGGTTATGTGCGCCTACCACTAAAGATTATTTTTGTTTAAGGTTGAGCGCGATGGTACCTTCTTTCATCACAGGCTAAGGCCTTCATTTCTACCCCCATCCCATTCAGACAAACCTGAACCTGAAAAATGACAGTACTTTACAGCCCTCTGTCTGAATGGCAATTACACACAAACAGACACTACTACTCACCACACCAACACTTGCCTTCAAATCCTACTTTATTACAAGTTTCTCTCAGCAGACAACACTAGCATGATGTCACAAGCTATTTCCAGACATGTCAGTAAATGAGGATCATACAGGGGCCAAATTCACTCTTTCATTTTCAAAAACAACTTTAAGTCCACAGGATCAGAAACAGAATATGACTGGATAGGAAATCCACAATGGTAACATGATGATCCAACCTCACAGGAACATAATATTACTCCTATAGGCCTAATGTAAATAATAAATATGCCATAAACCTACAGTATACTACTGGAATCACAGCCTTATTCGGAATATAAAAGGTATTTATTTGGTTTCTCACATGAAATAACATCCCTTACTCTAGTCACACTTTAGTGCATCTAGTGATAGCCAGGTCACTCTCCAGTCTCCCCCTGTTGTTTTGGGACTGGGAACTGGGACCTGGGACTGGGTATTCCTCCAGAGAGGAAGTTCTGTCAGTTATCTACAGTATCTGACATGGATATTCCCCTGACATATCACCTATAAATACCCAGCACCATAAATACAAGGTTCAGGAGCTCCCATGCCACAGAGTAGTTTCTCTCCATGACTCCCTCATATTATATTATCATCCGCTGCAGTCTGACATCCTGAAACAGAGGCAGGAAAAAGCAGGTGCTTTTCCGAGGCATGACTGTATGCCTGTATCTATATGACTGATGTCCCTCTCATCTACAGAGATATGAACACACACATTTAGCCACTGCTGAAGAGTGAACACAATAGCCTCCCATCAAGAATAGATATCTGGTAGTTACAGTGGTCTGGGAGAAAGTGTGAGTGACAGAGACTAGGCTATACCACAGAGTGGTGAGTGAAAATCTTGACTGGCTGCATCACCGCTTGGTATGGCAACTGCTTGGCATCCGACCGCAAGGCACTACAGAGGGTAGTGCGGACGGCCCAGTACATCACTGGGGCTGAGCTCCCTGCCATCCAGGACCTATATACCAGGCGGTGTGAGGTGAAGGCCCTAAAAATTGTCAAAGACTTCAGCCAACCAAGTCACAGACTGTTCTCTCTGGAACCAACAGAACCCTGAACAGCTTCTACCCCCAAGCCATAAGACTGCTAAATAGTTAGTTAAATAGCTAACCAAATAGCTACCCGGATTATCTGCATTGACCCTTTTTGCACTAAGTTCTTTGACTCATCACATACGCTGCTGCTACTGTTTACTATCTGTCACCTTATTCCTAGTTATATGTACATATCTACCTCAATTACCTCATACCTCTGCACATCGACTTGATACTGGTACCCCTTGTATCTAGCCAAGTTATCGATTATTACATGTTTTACTTTCTATTTATCCATGTTCTTTCTCTCTGCACTGTTGGGAAGGGCCCAAAAGTAAGCATTTACTGTTAGTCCACACCTGTTGTTTACGCAGCATGTGATGAATAACATTTGATTTGATTATTTGATTTGATTGCCCTCTCTCTCATACTGCCTACATATAATAGGGAATTATTCATGCTTACCTTGATGTTCAGTTCACCTGTATGCTATGCACCAACAAGATCTAACGCATCTGCTTATTGTGATGCACTCTTCATCCACAGCTAAACACACACTAAATGGATTGCTGAGGATTGCTATGTAGAACAATATTTAGAAAGAAAAACTAATTACACATACTGCGTGACCTGTCATAAGGTCTGAGGATGAGGGATGGATTACCATTATGTAAGGAGCATGAACTATGGTTTTATCATCTGTGCTTTGTTGGCCACATGAGCATTAAAATACTGTGAGATTCTACATGCCTTTGTCCCATTGCTTTGTCCCAGTGTGGTTCTATTCCAAACAGATGTCGCCAAGACTGTTCACGAGGCAACAACACATGTGCATAGTTGTTGTTCAATTTTACTTGTTTAAATTCCTGCGTGGATGAGGATAACATTTTGTTTGTGATCAGTATGGGTGCAAAGAAATCCTTCCTTCAACAAATTTCCAAGGGAAACACGGTCATGGCTAGATGGGATCCAGCTTTTGTCAAATTGACGTCAAAAGTTGATTTTTTTGTGTGCATTTTAGCTAAACCTAACTATTTTCCTAACCTTAACCTAATTATTCTAACCTGTTAAGTTAATTCTCCTAAACCTGACAAAAGCTGTATCCTTCTAGACAAAACCGGCGTGGGGGCAGGGTCCCTCCGCCAAAGGAGTTCCAAGACTCCTGAAATACAACAATGGAGTTTAATCCATATTCAGTTTCAACAAAAGACCCAGACTAGACAGAAACGCTCATTCCCGAACCACGAAAGTCTGGGTGGAGGTGCAGACTGAGCTGAGGAAAAATTATCCCTTGATGAAACATTTGGACACAGATGTAATATCACACTATTATTGGCTACCTGTTAGGATCATTTGCATAACAATTATCTATGCTAAGAAACCAATCTGTAGTAAATAAATGCAGCCAATAGGTCTATCAGGTGAAAACCAAAGGATAGACAACCAAAACAATATCAGCACCTTCCTATGCCATGAGTGCGTTGTAGTTTAAATATCAAATAGAATTAGCTACGTTTATAGAAACAGTTAAGTTACTACACCATAACAACACAGGTTCAAATGCACTCTTCTGTCAAGGAATTCGAGGTCGAAGAACCAAAAGTAGCCAGTTGTTTCGAAACAATGCATTGCAACAAAGTAACTTTGGAAGTAGCCAATAGCTAGTATCCGCGGTTTTGCGATGAAGAATAATGGATAGCCCAACAAATGATATGTAGCCTACACACCTTGTGAATGGTATCTTCTTTATCTCCAAAGAATAAGCTAGTCAACGGCGGTTGTTTTCAGCGGAACTTTTCCTCCAGATATTTCAGTGTTCTAAACTGCTCAAATATAGTAGGCTATGCGACTCGAGTAGGCTCGCAGTGTATTCAATATTCAACCATACCATCCCCACCATCCCCTGCCTCGTTTCCACCCCGCCGTGGTGCTATCGCTTGTGAGCGCTGCGTTGGTCTATTCTTCTCCTACCCCGCCTGTCTGTCTGTCTGTGACGTATGATGGATGGTACCCCTGGCTTGCCTTCTCGTGGTCAATAGCCTCACCGTTCTCAGTTGCAGTGCTGCACCAGTGGCAAAAGGCAACCACTGGATTTCTTTGAAAGCTATTCAATCACTTCTCTTAATTGTGCAAATAGGTTATTTGTTCCAAATAGCAGTTTAATTTGTAACCAATGTGGTTTCTTGGTTTAGCCTATAGGCTACTATATCCCATGTGTAAAGTGATGGGGTTGATATGGGTTTCTAAATTGTATTGGCAAATAAAATTGTCTGGTGATCTTCAAGACTGAGCCCCATAAAGAGTTCATATTAATGAATAATTTACCATCTCGGTTTCTTCCGTCACCAACCATCTGTTACCATCTCAAGCCAAATCTGTGACAGACATTTCAAGAATGTTCCTCAATTACCTAAAGATTGAATAATAGATTATGGGAGATTTAGGATTTGCCAAATTATCCTCACCAGAAATAAAATGCCTTTCTTTCTTAATCCTGGCAGCTGACTGAGTAAAAAGATTACTGAAAACATATCACCAAAATGTACAATAGTTTGCCTTTCACTCATCAGATACCGTTATTCGACAGCGTGAGTGACAGTACCAAAGCGTGCTCTGCTGGTGTGAATGGGCCAGTGCAGCCATCAGCCCATTGAATTGAGGTAACCTACTTGTAGGGCTGGGCAATCATTGCCATTGAATAAGCAAACTTTTTTTAGTTTTTTTTTTACTAAACTCTAAACGTCCTCTCACTGTCGACTGCGTTTATTTTCAGCAAACTTAACATGTGTAAATATTTGTATGAACATAAGATTCAACAACTGAGACATAAACTGAACAAGTTCCACAGACATGTGACTAACAGAAATTGAATAATGTGTCCCTGAACAAAGGGGGGGACAAAAGTAACAGTCAGTATCTGGTGTGGCCACCAGCTGCATTAAGTACTGCAGTGCATCTACTCCTCATGGACTGCACCAGATTTGCCAGTTCTTGCTGTGAGATGTTACCCCACTCTTCCACCAAGGCACCTGCAAGTTCCCGGACATTTCTGGGGGGAATTATATTTGAGTCATTTAGCAGACGCTCTTATCCAGAGCGACTTACAGTTAGTGAGTGCATACATTTTCATACCGGCCCCCCGTGGGAAACGAACCCACAACCCTGGCGTTGCAAGCGTGGCCCTAGCCCTCACCCTCCGATCCAACAGGTCCCAGACGTGCTCAATGGGATTGAGATCCGGGCTCTTTGCTGGCCATGGCAGAACACTGACATTCCTGTCTTGCAGGAAATCACGCACAGAACAAGCAGTATGGCTGGTGGCATTGTCATGCTGGAGGGTCATGTTAGGATGAGCCTGCAGGAAGGGTACCACGAGGGAGGAGGATGTCTTCCCTGTAACGCACAGCGTTGAGATTGCCTGCAATGACAACAAGCTCAGTCCGATGACCATGACGGACCCTCCACCTCCAAATCGATCCCGCGCCAGAGTACAGGCCTCGGTGTAACGCTCATTCCTTCGAAAATAAATGCAAATCCGACCATCACCCCTGGCGAGACAAAACCGCAACTCGTCAGTGAAGAGCACTTTTTGCCAGTCCTGTCTGGTCCAGCGACGGTGGGCTTGTGCCCGTTGTTGCCGGTGATGTCTGGTGAGGACCTGCCTTACAACAGGCCTACAAGTCCTCAGTCCAGCCTCTCTCAGCCTATTGCGGAGTCTGAGCACTGATGGAGGGATTGTGCATTCCTGGTGTAACTCGGGCAGTTGTTGTTGCCATCCTGTATCTGTCCCACAGGTGTGATGTTCAGATGTACGGATCTTGTGCAGGTGTTGTTACACGTGGTCTGCCACTGGGAGGACGATCAGCTGTCCGTCCTGTCTCCCTGTAGCGCTGTCTTAGGCGTCTCACAATACGGACATTGAAATGTATTGCCCTGGCCACATCTGCAGTCCTCATGCCTCCTTGCAGCATGCCTAAGGCACGTTCACGCAGATGAGCAGGGACCCTGGGCATCTTTGGTTTTGTGTATTTCAGAGTCAGTAGAAAGGCCTCTTTAGTGTCCTAAGTTTTCATAACTGTGACCTTAATTGCCTACCGTCTGTAAGCTGTTAGTGTCTTAACGACTGTTCGACAGGTGCATGTTCATTAATTGTTTATGGTTCATTGAACAAGCATGGGAAACAGTGTTTAAACCCTTTACAATTAAGATCTGTGAAGTTATTTTGATTTTTACGAATGATCTTTGAAAGACAAGGTCCTGCAATAGGGACGTTTCTTTTTTTGCTGAGTTTACATGTACAGTGAGGGAAAAAAGTATTTGATCCCCTGCTGATTTTGTACGTTTGCCCACTGACAAAGAAATGATCAGTCTATAATTTTAATGGTAGGTTTATTTGAACAGTGAGAGACAGAATAACAACAAAAAAATCCAGAAAAACACATGTCAAAAATGTTAAATTGATTTGCATTTTAATGAGGGAAATAAGTATTTGACCTCCTCTCAATCAGAAAGATGTCTGGCTCCCAGGTGTCTTTTATACAGGTAACGAGCTGAGATTAGGAGCACACTCTTAAAGGGAGTGCTCCTAATCTCAGCTTGTTACCTGTATAAAAGACACCTGTCCACAGAAGCAATCAATCAATCAAATTCCAAACTCTCCACCATGGCCAAGACCAAAGAGCTCTCCAATGATGTCAGGGACAAGATTTTAGACCTACACAAGGCTGGAATGGGCTACAAGACCATCGCCAAGCAGCTTGGTGAGAAGGTGACAACAGTTGGTGCGATTATTCGCAAGTGGAAGAAACACAAAATAACTGTCAATCTCCCTCGGCCTGGGGCTCCATGCAAGATCTCACCTCGTGGAGTTGCAATGATCATGAGAACGGTGAGGAATCAGCCCAGAACTACACGGGAGGATCTTGTCAATGATCTCAAGGCAGCTGGGACCATAGTCACCAAGAAAACAATTGGTAACACACTACGCCGTGAAGGACTGAAATCCTGCAGCGCCCGCAAGGTCCCCCTGCTCAAGAAAGCACATATACAGGCCCGTCTGAAGTTTGCCAATGAACATCTGAATGATTCAGAGGAGAACTGGGTGAAAGTGTTGTGGTCAGATGAGACCAACTCGCCGTGTTTGGAGGAGGAGGAATGCTGCCTATGACCCCAAGAACACCATCCCCACCGTCAAACATGGGAGGTGGAAACATTATGCTTTGGGGGTGTTTTTCTGCTAAGGGGACAGGACAACTTCAACGCATCAAAGGGACGATGGACGGGGCCATGTACCGTCAAATCTTGGGTGAGAACCTCCTTCCCTCAGCCAGGGCATTGAAAATGGGTCGTGGATGGGAAATCCAGCATGACAATGACCCAAAACACACGGCCAAGGCAACAAAGGAGGGGCTCAAGAAGAAGCAGCACATTAAGGTCCTGGAAGGCCTAGCCAGTCTCCAGACCTTAATCCCATAGAAAATCTGTGGAGGGAGCTGAAGGTTCGAGTTGCCAAACGTCAGCCTCGAAACCTTAATGACTTGGAGAAGATCTGCAAAGAGGAGTGGGACAAAATCCCTCCTGAGATGTGTGCAAACCTGGTGGCCAACTACAAGAAACGTCTGACCTCTGTGATTGCCAACAAGGGTTTTGCCACCAAGTACTAAGTCATGTTTTGCAGAGGGGTCAAATACTTATTTCCCTCATTAAAATGCAAATCAATTTATAACATTTTTGACATGCGTTTTTCTGGATTTTATTGTTGTTATTCTGTCTCTCACTGTTCAAATAAACCTACCATTAAAATTATAGACTGATCATGTCTTTGTCAGTGGGCAAATGTACAAAATCAGCAGGGGATCAAATACCTTTTTCCCTCACTGTACTTTTACCAAAGGTGTAGGGACTCAGTCAGTATGATATTTGGATCCCATCCTCTCCCTGTGATACCATCATCTCCCTCCTGTGAGTTAAAACTCCAACCACAAAGGGGAAACACTCACTTTGAACAAGAAGCAGGTTTATCAACTTACACTGCTCTGTAAGAGTTGCGGAATTTCCTCTTCACTTCAGTTTGTTCCTCAATTCACGCACCTTGGAGAGCGATTCCTTCCCTTTCCTGATGAAACAAATGTTGACCATAATAAATGAGTAAGCAGTGCACTAACTTCTCTGAGACTTTATTGGTTTCATCTCTAGATTAAAAACTTGTGAACCAAGGCTACAGAAAGCACTTGATAATGATATACAGTACACTGCAATGCATTGATTTCCCTATGGTTATATACTGTATAATACACACACAATTTGCATCATAGACAGCCCAACCGTCCTAACAAGACCCCATGATGAGCTTTCAATCATTTGATTGACTTTAGTTTACAACCCAAAGACAGAACTCCAGCAATGCTTCGCTTGTTTCTTTTTTCTTTTGCAGAAAAGGAGCGGAATTGGTATTCAATATCTCCTTTATGGAAGGTTAGTTATGACAGCTACAGTTATAATCCAATATACATTTAAAAAGTGCTTTAGGTTAAATTTCAACTTCAAAGATCACATCCTGATAATGATAAATGACAAACCAAAAGTCAGGAGAGTGTTTTGTTCATTTTAGTATGTTTTACTTTGTTTTAGATGCAGGTCCATCTTCCCCACTTAATCCTTGTGTAGTTCAATGACTCATCAATAACCTGATCCATAATTGCACTCACTTTAGTCAGGTCTTTACAGCACTGAGCTATTACACAACAGACAGTCATTGCTTTGCTAATGCTTCAGTTTGTTTTACACACATTATGGGAAGGACAACATTTAGGATCATTTCATTTTCTGATGGAAGATACAAATAGTTAAATCAATAATAATGGTAAACAAAACTAAAAACATAATTTAGGAAGTAAAAAAACAAAAAGTCTAAACCTCATACCCCTGCCTACACAGCCAGCACAGCAATAAATAACTCACAGATGGCATCTATCTACTGTAGCACGGGAAGGATGGTGTTATGAAGACTGGTGACTACTTTGATAAGACACAGGCTCTGTTCCTATATATGCATTAGCATACCACTTGAATGTAATCTCGTTCACTAGACACTTCCTCCCAATGCGCAATTGGGAGGAGACAAGGTTACTTAGAATGAAGCAATGCATTAGCTATTTTGGACATGGAGTGTAGCCGCAGATCCCAATTCACCACTCCAAGCAAGCCACTGCCTCGTTAGCCTGCACACAAGAGGCAGGTGTGCAGTGTCATTTGTCAGAATATGAAAAAGTTGGGCTGCTGAAGAGTCAGTGACTCATATAGACAGATTTGGGCACACAGATAAAGAACACATTTGAAAAATAAAGAGGAAAAACAGAAAATCCCTCCAATGTATGCCTAAACTATCAACTATGCATAGGCAGTAAGCACAGAAACAAAATGTGCACATCAAAAGAAACAATGAAACTCATGATTAATCGACCTAAAGTGTGGGGGGGATGGGGGGGTAAATATTTCATGATCCCTCGTCTCTCAAACTATTCCACAATGACCAATGGAAAATCAAGTTAACCCATTCCTTTAATGTCATCGCAGGACATTTGTGTAAACGTCATCTTTCAGATAGAACATTATCGTTTATTGTATTTTGATAGGTGGAGGGATAGCTGGCATAGTGACAAAAATCATCAACTTCACAAATGCATTAGGAGTAAGAAGGAACTCATGACCTGATCAGTCAATCATTTAGAACAATCTTTTTGTGGTCCGAGAAGTAACCTTTCCACTGATATACTTTTCTCTTCAGTGATAACATTGACATCAGTGGGACAAATGGGTGTTGCATTTTTTTAGTTTTTCCCCAAATGGCATACTCTGCATATGGTAATATTGATATACATAAATTGCTAAGGAACCTAGCAGTTCATCCATTACAATTTCATCATACAGTATATTAACATTGACTGGATATCTTGGACTTGGGTAGGTATGACATTGAAGCAGCTTAATTTTCGAATACGTGACAAAATCTCATTTTTTTTGCATTTGTCTGCCATTCTTCACAGTTCTTCTATAAAACTGTATGACTCTCAAATGGCGCCCTATTCTCTATTTAGTGCACTACCTTTGACTAGGCTCTGGTCAAAAGTAGTTAACTATAAAGGGAATAGGGTGCCATTTGGGACTCATTTTCTGTCAATCACTGGTGCACGGTCCTGAAGATGTGCTCTACTACAGCATTTCAGCCCCGAAAGAAACAAAGTGAAAAGAAAATAGTTCAGTGCTCATTCTAACTGTACAATAGAGGCCAGTAGTGTGTTTTTACTGTGTTTAAACTTTAAAATAAGCTTTATTGATCTAGACAGGAGGGATAACTTGATGATATGCTGTACATAAAAATCAGGCTTGGATGCTTCTCAGCGGATTCCAACCTTTTAGTGTTTTTTTGTTTTGTTTTTTGAGAACCTGCGATGACATACATTTAACTTGGCACAATGCAGACTAAAATCTTTTAGGACATTAATGGACAAACTGCTGTGCGATAAATAAAATGGAAGAGCTACACATTATTAGTTATATGTTAATCCGCCAGGCGCCAAGATTGCAACATTTTTGTATTTTGTTTGTTCTCTGTCCGTGTTCTCTTTTGTTTTGTAAGGAAATCAATTATTTCATTCATACATGAAAACAAAAAGGATCATGAAAAAGAACTGTACAGCCTGTATCTATTTCTTATATATATCTTATTCATATATATAAATAAACGTTGATACTGGAAGAATTGTCCCATTATGTGACAGTTCTGTCAAGTGGAATGCCAGCTCCTGTGGGTGATCTTTGCATCTTCATCTGACTGTGATTATGTTTATCTTCTTCTTCAGCAGCTGACAGAAAGAGAGTGGAGAAAAATAATTACTTGTGTGAGCTCTGCTGCCATCTCTGCCTTGTCTATAAAACAGGGTCATGTTCAGTAGGGCACACCGAAGTAAAACGTTTTGCAACAGAAAAATAATATCTGTGTTCTTATTGGACAAATTCAGGTAGTGCCTCCCGGTTTAACATTTTTTTCTCCCACCCGAACAGAACTCCCTGAAAGGCATCAGATTGGCTCAGTACACTCTTCTGAGAGGCCTTGAAAGAATCTCAATTGCATACTCCTCGCATCCGCTCTCCTTGCCACCTTCTCAAAACCTATTGATGAGAAAGCCAGAGGTCCCTCACATCTGACCTTCTCTTCCAATGGCTTTTGAGAAGGAGGCGAGGACAGAAGATGTGAGGAGTATGCAATTGAAAAAAGGCCCTTGACTTACTTCTTGTCCACTCATTGCTTGGCCCCTCCTCCTCTGATGGCGGTGGGCTGGCTGTTGAAGAGCCCTGTCCGGTTGACGTTGGGGTGGGTGGGGGACGCCACAGGGGGCTGGCCAGGCCGAATGGGTTTGGCTAGGGAGGTCAAAGGCACAGCACTGGTTACATACCATCAAAGGAACACTAAATGGCATCATTATTTAGCATCTGCTAAATGACCAAAATGTACAAATGTTATGTTTTTACATGTACCAGTATTACAGACCAATACAAGCATCAGTCCTAGATTATATCAGGCAAAACAGAGGACAGATTTCTCTGAATAAAAAGCTAGCATTTAACCTTTAAATCAGTGTGTGTATGTATGTACACTACATGACCAAAAGTATGTGGACACCTGCTCATTGAACATCTCATTCCAAGATTATGGGCATTAATATGGAGTTGGTCCCCCCCTTTGCTGCTATAACAGCCTCCACTCTTCTGGGAAGGCTATCCACTAGATGTTGGAACATTGCTGAGAGGACCTGCTTCCATTCAGCCACAAGAGCATTAGTGAGATTGGGTACTGATGTTGGGCGATTAGGCCTGGCTCGCAGTCGGCGTTCCAATTCATCCCAATGGTGTTCGATGGGGTTGAGGTCAGGGCTCTGTGCAGGCCAGTCAAGTTCTTCCACACCGATCTCTACAAACCATTTCTGTATGGACCTCGCTTTTTTGCACGGGGGCATTGTCATGCTGAAACAGGAAAGGGCCTTCCCCAAACTGTTGCCACAAAGTTGGAAGCACAGAATTGTCTAGAATGTAATTGTATGCTGTAGCGTTAAGATTTCCCTTCACTGGAACTAAGGGGCCTAGCTCCAACCATGAAAAACAGCCCCAGACTATTATTCCTCCTCCACCAAACTTTACAGTTGGCATTATGCATTGGGGCAGGTAGCGTTTCCTGGCATCCGCCAAACTCAGATTCGTCCGTCGGACTGCCAGATGGTGTAGCACGATTCATCACTCTAGAGAACGCATTTCCACTGCTCCAGAGTCCAATGGCGGCAAGCTTTACACCACTCCAGCCGACGCTTGGCATTGCGCATGGTGATTTTAGGCTTATCAGTGGCTGCTCGGCCATGGAAACCAATATTATGAAACTCCCGATGAACAGTTCTTCTGCTGACGTTGCTTCCAGAGGCAGTTTGGATCTCGGTAGCGAGTGTTGCAACCGAGGACAGACGATTTTTATGCGCTACGCACTTCAGCACTCTAGCACTCTGCATTCCCATTCTGTGAGCTTGTGTGGCCTACCACTTCGTGGTTGAGCCGTTGTTGCTCCTAGACGTTTCCACTTCATAATAACAGCACTTACAGCTGTCGGGGCGGCTCCAGCAGGGCAGAAATGTTATGAACTGACTTGTTGGAAAGGTGGCATCCTATGACGGTGCCACGTTTAAAGTCACTGAGCTCTTCAGTAAGGCCATTCTACTGCCAATGTTTGTCTATGGAGATTGCATGGCTGTATGCTCGATTTTATACACCTGTCAGCAACTTGTGTGGCTGAAATGGCCGAATCCACTCATTTGAAGGGATGTCCACATACTTTTGTATATATATACTATATATAGTGTATGTATGTGTGTGTGCATGCGAATTCATTTGTGCATATGCGTGTGTTCCACACCGATCTGAGCAGAGTGGCCCCTCCTGGCCATGTTCTTGGCCCTGACGGCCTCTTTGATGCGGTCCACCTCCTGCTGGTAGCGTTTGCGGTCACGTGCGGCGTTCTCTTTGGCCTCCTTCAGGGCCGACTCCAGGGCCTTGACCCGCTCAGCCGTAGCACGCAGACGCTTCTCCAGTTTAGGAAGCTCACAGCGCAGGTCTGCATTATCACGCACCAGCTAGAGATGAAGAAGGGGGGGGGGGGGGGGGAGAGAGCGATGACGTAACCTGGTATATAGGCAAATCTATGAATACATGGTTCACTCACTAATTAATGATTTCAGTCACATTACAGTTGTCCCTGGTACCTTTTTGATTTGTGAAGAACATTTGTGTTGACAGAAAGAGTATCTTGGGAGTCATTTGGCACGTCTGTAACTTCTATTACAATAAAGGGCTGTGGTCTGTACCATAGAATGAATGGGCATAGACCCCATGAAATGAATGGGTAAGTGCATTATACTCATTCTAATTCTGTGGTCTGTACCTGCTTACTGACTTTAGTAAACCACACCATTCAATCATAGCAGGATACTTCTCTGCCATGGGAGCACTAACAACTTGCGTATGTTTAGTTGTGTATGTTTGTTTACCTGTTTGTGGACCTTTGTAAGCTGTTCCAGGTTGTTCTCCAGAAAGGAGATCTTCTGTTTCTGAGCAGCACTGCCCCCTGTATCATCTGAGTCCATCTCAGCGCTCTGCAGAAAACATACATTATAGAGCATTTACTTTTATAGCACATTTATCATTCTCTCTCCATTTATTTATAATTTATGAGACACATACATTTCTCAATTTTCTGTGAAAGGCACCATTAAAGCCACATTTGAGTTTTAAATAACCATTGAGAAACTGTAAATTAATATACCAAATTGTGCCTTTCACGGACCCATTTTTGTATTATTTTTTATTTCACCTTTATTTAACCAGGTAAGCCAGTTGAGAACAAGTTGTCATTTACAACTGCGACCAACTGCGACCCATACACTTTCAATGCAGAATTGTGTTACGAAAACCACAAGCTTAGAAAAAATATAACGCAAGAGAGCAGATAAGAGACAGGGTATGACTTTTAAAGGGGAAATCTGCATTTTCAAACAATAAAGCATACCCCGCCACTGTTTTGGTAGAAAGCTGAGGGATAGGGCTGGAGAAATGTAACCACTTTCAAATTCATAGACAGAGCTATGGATACAAGGACTGACCATCCATGAAAATGTATAGTTCTAACCATGTTTTGAGGCTATACAGTAGTTGTTTACAATTACATTATTTACAAACAAAGGAATAAAACAAGCTTATAGTTTTGGTTATGATGGGGTAAGAGTCAAACTAAGCGCATAAAGCATGTATCAGTTATATTCTTTGAGAATCAAATGGCAATATATCATTAGATTTCAAGTAAAAAAATGAATGTAGCAACTGCAGATTGCTGCTTTAAATCAAACTTAAAATCACACTTATCGCAGCAATCCAGGGACACATCTTCTCTCCTCTCCATCTTATCCATGGGAGCCAGCTAGAGCCTAAACCCTGAGGGTTGGTGATGAACCTCATACTAGTCTCTGAGGATCTGAATCACAACATCACAGTTGACGCTTCCCAAATGGCACCCTATTCCCTAAATAATGCACTACTTTGGACCTACGAGCCCTATGGACACTGGTCAAAAGTAGTGCACTATAAAGGGAATAGGGTGCCATTTGAGACACAGTCAGCATCTTATTTACATCTTTACAGGCTGACCTACTTACCACAGCCTATCACTTTTGTCTGCTGAGGAGGATCATTAGACTTTCAACAGGGTAAAACTAAAGTGGGCACGTCAGACCAGAGTTAGTGGAAAGGAACATGTGTGTCCTGTACGGTTCCATTGTAGGTAGTGATTGTACTATTACTTTTTCAAATCAGTGGTAAGTAAATAGTACATAGGCAAAGAGGGGATATTTGTTAAAGTAATTGATTCATATGGTTCCTTCTCGGTCTTTGTAAAAGGCTAATGAGGGGGGGAAAGTTGCAGCTCTCGCTCTTAAAGTTAATGCTTGATAAAAGCTAACACCGTGTGTTGTACCTTCTTGACTCTGGTAGCCAGGTCCTGAACAAACAGTTTTCTGAGGTTGTGGAGAGTCTGGAGCTCCTTAGCCACCGTCTCCTCCAGTCCCTTCAGGTCTTGTCTGGCCTGCTCTCTCCTATCCTGCATCACCCTGTAAAACACAGACACACAACCAGATCAATGATTCCCCATTGCCACATCACAGCTTTTCATGCGTTTGCAGACATTGGTGATTCATTTATTGTCATTTATCCAGGCTAATCAGCTAAGAACAAATGATAGTGTGTGAATATTGATTGTGTGTTTACGATGGCAACTGGGTAAGGCAACTGGATGGGTGGTTACGTACGTGAGCTCGTGCAATTTGCGGCTCTTGTCCTGGTCGGTGGATTTGAGTTTCTCGTGCTCCACCCTCAGACGCTCCTGTTCCAGCATGATCTTCTGGTTCAGACTAGAGAGAGAGACAGATACAGATAGTGAGACAGAGACAGCAACTAACTAACAAATCGTTTTTCCATATGTGGTCTTTGTGTCTGATGGGCCTCAAGGAATTGTGTGTGTGTGTGTGTGTGTGTGTGTCAGCGCATGCGTGCACGTAGTGTGTGTGTGTGTGTTGTGTTGTGTTCCCTTACTCCTGGAGCTCAGTGATGAGTTTCTCCTTGTTGTCCAGCTCGTCTCTCAGGCTGCTGATCTGTTTCTGATGGGCCTCGCGGTGAGACTGGATCTGATGCTCAACCGCCTCCTAGCAAAAACACACACAACTAGTTACCAACAAATATATTACAGCTGAGTACCAACACAAAATCATATGGAATTTTAAGCAGAAACTTTTATCTGAAGTGACTTTCATAGCTGTCAACTTTGACAAAGATGTACAGTACCAGTCAAAAGTTTGGACACACCTACTCATTCCAGGGTTTTTCTTTATTTTTTACTATTTTCTACATTGCAGAATAATAGTGAAGATATCAAAACTCTGAAAAAACACATATGGAATCATGTGGTAACCAGAAAAAGTGTTCAACAAATCAAAATATATTTAAGATTTGAGATTCTTCAAAGTAGCCACCCTTTGCCTTGATGACAGCTTTGAACACTCTTGGCATTTTCTCAACCAGCTTCATGAGGAATGCTTTTCCAACAGTCTTGAAGGAGTTCCCACATATGCTGAGCACTTGTTGGCTGCTTTTCCTTCACTCTGCAGTCCAACTCATCCCAAACCATCTCAATTGGGTTGGGGTCGGGTGATTGTGGAGGCCAGGTAATCTGATGCAGCACTCCATCACTCTCCTTGGTCAAATAGCCCTTACATAGCCTGGAGGTGTGTTTTGGGTCATTGTCCTGTTGAAAAACAAATGATAGTCCCACGAAGTGCAAACCAGATGGGATGGCGTATCGCTGCAGAATGCGGTGGTATCCATGCTGGTTAAGTGTGCCTTGAATTCTAAATAAATCACAGACAGTGTCACCAGCAAAGCACCACTACACCATCACGCCTCCTCCTCCATGCTTCACGGTGGGAACCACACATGCGGAGACTCATCAGACCAAAGGACAGATTTCCACCGGCCTAATGTCCATTGCTCGTGTTTCTTGGCCCAAGCAAGTCTCTTCTTCTTATTGGTGTCCTTTAGTAGTAGTTTCTTTGCAGCAATTCGACCTGATTCACGCAGTCTCCTCTGAACAGTTGATTTACCAAATAGGGCTATGTTCTGTACACCACCCCTACCTTGTCACAACTGATTGCCTCAAACACATTAAGGAAAGAAATTCCACAAATTAGCTTTTAACAAGGCACACCTGTTAATTGAAATGCATTCCAGGTGACTACCTCATGAAGCTGGTTGAGAGAATGCCAAGAGTGTGCAAAGCTGTCATCAAGGCAAATGGTGGCTACTTTGAAGAATCTCAAATATAATATATTTTGATTTGTTGAACACTTTTTTGGTTACTACATGATTCCATGTGTTATTTCATAGTTTTGATGTCTTCACTATTGTTCTATAATGTAGAAAATAGTAAAAATAAAGAAAAACCCTGGAATGAGTAGGTGTGTCCAAACGTTTGACTGGTACTGTATATTGAGTGTATTTGGCCCATACAGGAATCAAACATACAATATTCTCCATGATTGTACACAAATATACAAATGATTACCAACACAAAATGTTTCAATAATCTAAATGATCGGTTATCAAGTTAGGAAAGAATAGCCTGTAAGGAGAAATCCACTGTTGGTCATACCTTGACTTCGGTGGCAGTTTGGACCTCATTTTCCTTCTCCATAGCCTGAACTTTCTCTGCAAGGGGAGAAACAGCAGATGGGTGTCAGCAACCTTTTCACCACTAGATGGTGCAAGACTTGAAAAGCTAGGCCTCAACTTGTAGCCAAATGTGTCCATGGTTTTGTAGAAATAACATATCAAAATACACATTTCAATAAGGAATGTGTGATGTGCCTTCTTGGGGAAAGGTCTTCCACGCAAAAGAGGGATGGGGTGGGATATTCCTGTTTGAATAGGATACATAATGTTGTAGTCACCCTGAGCGCTGATCTTGACCAGTTCCTCATTCAAAGAGTCTACGTTCTCCTCCAGCTGTCTTTTCTTCTGCTCCACGTTCTGAAGGTACTCTGTCAGGGACTTGATCTTAGCCTCGTGCTGAGGGGGGAATTAAAATGGTGCAATACATGGAACCAGGGTTGGGGTTGATTCCATTTCAATTCAATGAATTCAAGAAGTACACTGTAATCCAGATCCCAATGTTCCTCATTGCTTTTCATTCTCTGAATTGAAATAGAATTGACCCCAAGAGAAGTGAATACATTTTTATTTGAACGACAGCCACCCTGTGACACCTTCTCTCAAGCCCTCTGTCCCAGGTGACGATGGTTACCTGGGAGATGCGTAGCTGACAGGCGGCCAGCTCCTTCTCGTTCTCGTCCATCTTCTCGTTGCTCTCGGCCTGGGTGCTCTCCAGCTGCTTGCTGCGTTTCACCATGGTCTTCACCTCCGACTTCATCTTACTAATGTACAGACGAGCCACCGTGAACTCCTCATCTATCAGACCACTGCCCTCGTGTTGCTGGAGAAGGGGAGGGGGGGGAGGAGAGGAGGTAAAGGCACAAACGTAAGACTCAAATGTCACCGTGCAAAAGACATACATCCGATATAGTGTACCTAAAGCATAGTTAAGGATGAGGTTACTTATGTTTGGGATGAGGCTAATTGGTAAATACAGTATAAGAGCCACACAGGCTTCCACTCTTCCCAGGAATCCCCAAAAGGTATCCCAATACTGGTCTTCCCTTCCATGACTGGCTGGCATGGCGCTGAATGATGATGCGTACCTTGATGTCATTGCTGCCCACAGCGATGCCGATCTCAGCAAGATCTTTGAGCAGCGATGACATCATCTCAGTGACCCTCTTCTTCTGGTGGTTGGTCATCTCCTTCAGCTTCTGCAACTCAGAGTCGATTGACACCAGGATGCTCTGAGGAGGACAACAAAGGTCAAGTTTAGTTCCAGGTACTTTTGGTTTTCATTCCCCCTTTCTAATCCTGGACTGATTTACACCTGGGACACTAGCTGAGTGGACAGCCAATCAGTGACATTCATGAATAATGTAAACTACAGCAATCAGAGATTTTTTTAAAAAACCCAGCAGTACTTCTGCCCTTGTGTGTCAGTAGTTGGCATAGGATATTCTGAGTACATCGTAGGATTTCACAATCCTAACATCTCTCCTGGTGAGCCTTGGCTCACCATGATAAAAAAAGGTGAGTTTAGTTTGTGAATGACTTGTTCTCCTCTCACCAATTTCTGGTTGAAGATAGAGAAGAAGGAAAGACACATTTTTAAAAAGGTAGGCCTATTGGAAAATGGCATCCTCTCACCGATTTCTGGTTGAGCTCCTCGCTGAGAGCCTCAAACTCCTTAGTTTTGTCCTCCACCTCCTGGCTCTTCTGGTCGTAGTTCACAGCCAGCTCCTCCAGGGCCTGCAGCACCTCCTTCACCTCCTCCTTAGACGCCTCGTTCTCGGACTGCAGACGGTTCAGCTCCACCTGCAGGTTGTCGTGGTCGCGACGCGACGAGGCCAGCAGCTGGAGAAGGAACCCAAATTCAAATTCATAGACAGAGCTATGGATACAAGGACTGACCATCCATGAAAATGTATAGTTCTAACCATGTAATTGTTCACGTTTACATCGTCTACAAACAAAGGAATAAAACAAGCTTATAGTTTGGGTTCTGATGGGGTAAGATAGTCGAACTACGCTCATGAAGCATGTATAAATTATATTTTTCAAGAATAAATGGCTATATATCATTACATTTAAAGTCCAAGAATGGATGTAGCAACTGCTTTAAAATCGAATTTATCGCAGCAATCCAGGGACACATCTTCTCTCCTCTCCATCTTATCCATGGGAGCCAGCTAGAGCCTAAACCCTGAGGGTTGGTGATGAACCTCATACTAGTCTCTGAGGATCTGAATCACAACATCACAGTGGATAAGTCCCAAATAACACACTACTTTGGACCTATGAGCCCTATGGGCCCCAGGAGGTAGGTGGCACCTTAAATCGGGGAGGACGGGCTCGTGGTAATGGTTGGAGCGGAATGGGTGGAATGGTATCAAATACGTAAAACACATGGTTTCCATGTGTTTGATGCCATTACAGTCATTCCTATAAAGGGAATAGGGTGACATTTGGGACACAGTCAGCATCTTATTTACATCTTTACCTTTGAAGAAGAGAACTACAGGCTGACCTACTTACCACAGCCGCTCTCTTTTGTCTGCTGAGGAGGATCATTAAACTTTCAACAGGGTAAAACTAAATTGGGCGTGTCAGGCCAGGGTTAGAGGAAAGGAACGTGTGTCCTGTACGGTCCCATTCCAGGTAGTGATTGTACTATTACTTTTTCAGATCACTGGGTGTAGCCATTATTAATTCAGAATATTCATCTGTAATTAAAATCCAGCCTACCGAAGGCTGAGATGAGACGGAGACAGTGTTAGATGTCAGATTCTACCCAGGCTGAGCAGTAGGCTGTGGTGCCTCTTTAACCCTGCTGTGTCTGGGCTAACCGTCAGCTAACAGTCTGACCCCCCCTGACGGGCCTGTACAGGCAGACTGATGGCATGGTTAACAGAGCAGGGGGGTGCGTATATGCGTGTGTGGCAGGGGGTCTCACCTCCTCCTGGTCCAGCATCTGCTGCTTTAGTTTCTCTGCCAGCTGGCTCTGCTGGTTGATCTCATCATCCTGATGGAGAGGAGAGAAGAGAGAGGGGGAGGGAGGGGGGGATGGTAATGGTGTTGTTTAGACCGAAGTGTTCTTGTCAATAAAAATAATAGGCAAAACATATTTTAAAGGTAGACTCAGCGTTATGGCGTGCCACGAGCAGCACCACAGATATTGCAATGAGCGCGATGCAAGACTTTGTTCTCACACAGAGTATCTGCGCATGTGCACGGGTTCGCTTCACGCTGCTACAACGTGGTAGCTACTGGAACAAAACAGCAGAGAAGTTGAGCCTCGCGCTTCAACGCCACTGCTGCTGTTCACTTTGTGCATCTACGTCATTTCGCTGAATCTACCTTTAAATGACTACCTCATGGAAATCTTTCTGGCACCTCAGTGGACAAGGTCAATCTCTAAATATAATCTAGCAAGTTGTCATGTGATGCTCTGTTCCCTCACCTTATCATCCAGCTGCTTGTAGAGTTTAGACAGCTCAGCCTCACACTTCTCCTTCTCTGCGTCGGTCAGTTTAACCCCTGGAATGCTGGGTGAGGGGGCCATCTTCTCATTGTTCACCACGTTGTCTAGAGCCTGAACCTCAGCGTTAGCCTTCTCCTTGTCAAACTGCTCCTCCACTGGCACACTCTCACCTATAGGAGGCAGCACAGAGGGAGGGAGGGTGGAAGGGAAAGAGGAAGGGAGGAATGGAGGAAGGGAGGAAGGGGAAAAAGGAAGGGAGGAATGGAGGGAGCCGTGGAGGAGGGAGGGAGGGACAGAGAGACAGGGTTAGAAACAAAAGTCAACTTCTGTGGTATCTACACAACATGCAGACTATTTCCTGGGTTGTAGTCATTAGTGCACACCGTAGAAAACTATTTTTCAACGGAAACTGTTTAATCTAAACACGGTTTACATTGCAAAACTTTTGCTATGTTGTGCAGTACACTAATGAATACAACCCTGTTCAATCCTAAAATAGGACATGAGCGTGATTCATGAAATGATCAGGTATCCTTGAACACTAACTGAATATCGATCTATTGTTTCCATATTTTGTCTCTCGTACCGTTTCTCCAGCGGTTGAGTTCGTTCTCCAGCCAGGTGACGGTGCTCCTCAGGGTTGTGTTCTTCGCCTTCTCTCTTTCATACTTTTTCTTCCACTGTTCTGCCGTCAGCTCCACATTCAGACACACTGTGTTCTTAATGGTCTTCGCTCTGTCACACACAAACACAACAGTTAACTTTCTGATGTCACAAAACAAACAGTGTCACCTTTGAGAGTGGGTGTGGCACTGGCAACCACCCATAGCCAGATTAGCTGACATCACGAAAACGATGCATGCGATTCAATTGGGCAGAAGTCCGTGTGTTATGATTCTGGATGGCCAGATAGCTAGCATCAATGACAAACTGCCATGTGGGGAATCGTAGGTGGCTCGTTTCAGCTAGTTTTATCTTGTTCTTGATACCATGTCTTGTTTTGAATGATGTCATGTCTACGCTAATATGGCAAAAATTCACTGTAATTATGTATTTGAGAGACAAGAAGTGCTCATTATGCCAATGTATTTATGTTTTCAATAAACATTGTAGACAATATATAGTTTACATGTTGTCAACCAATCTAAGCCAACCACGTCTGTTTTGCCCCATAGTTGCCATGCATCGGTTTTGTTGATAAAACAACCAACCCTTCTATAAAGCATAAACTGTGTAGACTGTAGCATATTCCTCATTGCTAACAATGTACCAACATTCAATTGGCATTTACAAAACTTCCACCCCACTGCTGGTTCTTGGTCATATACAGCAGTTGGTTCTCAATCTGGAGTTACTAGTACCCCTGGGGGTATGCAGACTATTCAAAAGGGATTATTGGGAAGATGAATAAGATGTTTGCAAAACACAAGTCTAGTCGTCGCAATCGGTTGCATATTAGGGGGTACAGAGCTAAAGGTGATTGGGGATACCGGTTGAGAAAAAAAGTTTGGACCCACTAATATACAGTTAAGTACAGGGGCTGAGACTGGTTGTGGGTGGTATACAATCCAGGGGCTGAGAGCGTCCTGTACATACCTCTGTCCGAACATCAGTGTGGACTTTGTCTCAGCCTCATTGTAGGCGGAGGGCGAGGCACAGATGACCATGGTGGTCCTACAGTTACCACCCAGAGAGTCCTGCAGGATACGGGTCATCTTACTGTCTCTGTAAGGGACATAGGTCTGGAGAAAGGAGGGGAGAGGGACTTACATTTACATTTTAGTCATTTAGCAGACGCTCTTATCCAGACGACTTACAGTTAGTGAGTGCATACATTATTATTTATTTTTTATACTGGAATCGAACCCACAACCCTGGCGTTGCAAATGCCATGCTCTACCAACTGAGCTACATCCCTGCCGGCCATTCCCTCCCCTACCCTGGGCCAATTGTGCGCCGCCCCATGGGTCTCCCGGTCGCGGCCGGCTACGACAGAGCCTGGATTCGAACCAGGATCTCTAGTGGCACAGACCACTGCCCCACTCAGGAGTTGAGCTTCACAGTCAACATAAAACACTCATCACTTTGTCCTGGAGAATAATACTACTGAAAACCTGGACTGAACTCTATGTAATACCAGTGTAAATTGTACTGTGTACAGGTACTGAAAACCTAGATTACAAGTATTTAGACATGTGTGCGCATATGACTTGTGCATGAGACACTCCTTTAATTTCTCCCATATTTTATCATTCATTCCTAACTTGAAAATGTCCTCTTTAGAAATATGTTAGAACAGCTGTTTGTTAGAACAGCTGTTTGTTGACATTGCATCCCAAATGGCACCCTATTCCCTATATAGTGCACTACTTTTGACCAGAGTTAGGTCAAGAAGAAGTGCACTATTTAGGGAATAGTGTGCCATTTGCAGTCATTTTCCCCAGCCCCGAGGGAGCAGAGGAGTGTTATGTTATCTCACCGAGCCTTCAGCTAGGGCAGAGATGACGTTGCCCAGCGCAGACAGGGATTTGTTGATGTTTTTAGCTTCTTCCAGAACTGCTCCCTCCGCTCCAGTTTTACCCACCTAGACACACACACACACACACACACTTTTAAGAGATCACAATCCAACACACATGCCCTCATGACAACACTGGTACAAGATTGTATCACAGGACATTTCATTAGATCACAAGAAAATTCTAAGAAACAGAATGTGTCCCAAATGGCACCCTACTCTAGATTTAGTGCACTATTTTTGTAAAAAGTAGTGAACTACATAGGGAATAAGGTGCCATTTGGTTGGGTCCCATATATAACTAAGGAAGATAATGCTGCCAGAAGTCTCAACAAAGATGATATAGGAGACCACAACAAACATTGATATTAAGATATAACAAAAAAAGATTATGAAAAAGTGCAACAAAGCATGTGAAAGGCTTTGCTTGAGTTTAGTGCCATCCTTTGGATTATCATCAGATTACTGCTGTTGTCGTGCGAGTAAAGAGAAACAACATATGTGCTAAATAGGGTTGAATGGCGGGAACTCGGTTACCGAGATTTACCGCCCAAAACTAGTCCCTTTTCCTGGGATAAATAACTGCGAGAAACCAGTAAATTATAATAAATGATTTACTGTATATAAAAAGCATGACGTGAAACTGTTAAATTATATGCTATGTCTATATCTTGCTTCTCTGCGGTCTTCTCTCTGCATGACCAATCATCAATGCTCATGTTGGGGACAGACAGCCCATCTCAGTATGGAGTGCAGTTCACAATGCATGTAGACCTATCATCTCATCATGGTAACTTTTTCTTGCGACAGGTCGGCCTACATTTGCTGCAGCATATGCTAGAGTAATATGAGGACAGAATGCATGAATCTAAATTTACACATCTCTATCTGGCTTTCGGGGGTCACCTTGTTTTTTTATTGTAAAGATTTTATTGCAGAGTTTTAAAAACAGCCTATCACTCGAATATTGTTGCGTTAAATTAGAGCATGCACGAGCAGTCTCTCTCCCTCCAATTCCATTCAAATCGTATCCAAAATAGGTTCTCAATCTTGAACTCATCTATCTATTTATATATACACACACACATATACACACACACACATACATACATACAGTGGGGAGACCAAGTATTTGATACACTGCCGATTTTGCAGGTTTTCCTACTTACAAAGCATGTAGAGGTCTGTAATTGTTATCATATGTACACTTCAACTGTGAGAGACAGAATCTAAAACAAAAATCCAGAAAATCACATTGTATGATTTTTAAGTAATTAATTTGCATTTTATTGCATGACATAAGTATTTGATCACCTACCAACCAGTAAGAATTCCGGCTCTCACAGACCTGTTAGTTTTTCTTTAAGAAGCCCTCCTGTTCTCCACTCATTACCTGTATTAACTGCACCTGTTTGAACTCGTTACCTGTATAAAAGACACCTGTCCACACACTCAATCAAACAGACTCCAACCTCTCCACAATGGCCAAGACCAGAGAGCTGTGTAAGGACATCAGGGATAAAATTGTAGACCTGCACAAGGCTGGGATGGGCTACAGGACAATAGGCAAGCAGCTTGTTGAGAAGGAACAACTGTTGGCGCAATTATTAGAAAATGGAAGAAGTTCAAGATGACGGTCAATCACCCTCGGTCTGGGGCTCCATGCAAGATCTCACCTCGTGGGGCATCAATGATCATGAGGAAGGTGAAGGATCAGCCCAGAACTACACGGCAAGACCTGGTCAATGACCTGAAGAAAGCTGGGACCACAGTCTCAAAGAAAACCATTAGTAACACACTACGCCGTCATGGATTAAAATCGCAAGGTCCCCCTGCTCAAGCCAGCGCATGTCCAGGCCCGTCTGAAGTTTGCCAATGACCATCTGGATGATCCAGAGGAGGAATGGGAGAAGGTCATGTGGTCTGATGAGACAAAAATAGAGCTTTTTGGTCTAAACTCCACTCGCCGTGTTTGGAGGAAGAAGAAGGATGAGTACAACCCCAAGAACACCATCCCAATCGTGAAGCATGGAGGTGGAAACATAATTCTTTGGGGATGCTTTTCTGCAAAGGGGACAGGACGACTGCACTGTATTGAGGGGAGGATGGATGGGGCCATGTATCGCGAGATCTTGGCCAACAACCTCCTTCCCTCAGTAAGAGCATTGAAGATGGGTCGTGGCTGGGTCTTCCAGCATGACAACGACCCGAAACACACAGCCAGGGCAACTAAGGAGTGGCTCCGTAAGAAGCATCTCAAGGTCCTGGAGTGGCCTAGCCAGTCTCCAGACCTGAACCCAATAGAAAATCTTTGGAGGGAGCTGAAAGTCCGTATTGCCCAGCGACAGCCCCAAAACCTGAAGGATCTGGAGAAGGTCTGTATGGAGGAGTGGGCCAAAATCCCTGCTGCAGTGTGTGCAAACCTGGTCAAGACCTACAGGAAACGTATGATCTCTGTAATTGCAAACTAAGGTTTCTGTACCAAATATTAAGTTCTGCTTTTCTGATGTATCAAATACTTATGTCATGCAATAAAATGCAAATTAATTACTTAAAAATCATACAATGTGATTTTCTGTATTTTTGTTTTAGACTCCGTCTCTCACAGTTGAAGTGTACCTATGATAAAAATTACAGACCTCTACATGCTTCGTAAGTAGGAAAACCTCTAAAATCGGCAGTGTATCAAATACTTGTTCTCCCCACTGTACATACATATACACACACACATACTACCGTTCAAAAGTGAATTAAATAACATCAAATTGATCAGAAATACAGTGTAGACATGGTTAATGTTGTAAATGGCTATTGTAGCTGGAAACGGCTGATTTTTAATGGAATAGGTGTACAGAGGCCCATTATCAGCAACCATCAGTCCTGTGTTCCAATGGCACGTTGTGTTTGCTAATCCAAGTTTATCATTTTAAAAGGCTAATTGATCATTAGAAAACCCTTTTGCAATTATATTAGCACAGCTGAAAACTGTTGTGCTGATTAAGGAAGCAATAAAACTGGCCTTCTTGAGACTAGTTGAGTATCTGGAGCATCAGCAATTGTGGGTTCGATTACAGGCTCAAAATGGCCAGAACAACACTTTCTTCTGAAACTCGTCAGTCTATTCTTGTTCTGAGAAATGAAGGCTATTCCATGCGAGAAATTGCCAAGAAACTGAAGATCTCGTACAACGCTGTGTACTACTCCCGTCACAGAACAGCGCAAACTGTCTCTAACCAGAATAGAAAGAGGACTGGGAGGCCCCGGTGCACAACAGTTGAGGACAAATGCATTAGTGTCTAGTTTGAGAAACAGACGCCTTTGCAGGTCCTCAACTGGCAGCTTCATTAAATAGTACCCGCCAAACACCAGTTTCAACGTCAACAGTGAAGAGGCGACTCCGGGATGCTGACCTTCTAGGCAGAGTCCAGTGTCTGTTCTTTTGCCCATCTTAATCTTTTCTTATTATTGGCCAGTCTGAGATATGGCTTTTTCTTTGCAACTCTCCAGAGCGCTCAGGACCTCAGACTGGGGCGAAGGTTCACCTTCCAACAGGACAACGACCCTAAGCACACAAGCAAGACAACAGAGGAGTGGCTTTGGGACAAGTCTCTGAATGACCTTGAGAGGCCCAGCCAGAGCCCGGACTTGAACCCCGTCGAACATCTCTGGAGAGATCTGAAAATATCTGTGCAGCGACGCTCCCCACCCAACCTGACAGAGCTTGAGAGGAACTGCAGAGAAGAATGGGAGAAACTCCCCAAATAAGGTGTGCCAAATGTATATTTAATGTAGGGCTCATAAAATGTATGGCTCATCAGGCTCAGGTAGCGTCAGGCTTGAATTTTCGATCAAAGCTTGAATCAAATCCAGGCATAGGCCTTTTTATATGCTTTATCTTCTTTTTAATGACACTTCCGGTTTTGGCGGGAAATACCGGGTTACACAAGAGAAAAATTATTTATTCTTGAGATGTAACATTTGTAAAATACCAGGAAAATATTCAACCCTAGTGCTAAAGACTTGAGGCGAACCAAGATGTTGTGGTAAAAGTAGCCGTGTCTGAGCCAGAATGGCTCATAGGGCAGGAACCTATCTCCTATTTCTGTACCGTGAGGTAGCTTGAGGTACTAGCTAGTTGTGGTAGACTAGCTAGTTAATTATGACCAAATGTTCAGATCAATAGCTGCCTGCTAGGCTATATCTACAGTCAGAAAAAGCAGGCATTGTGCAAAAGTGAATGTGTTGAACTTGAACACCAAGATGGAGACAAAGGGAGGAAACAGAGATAAAGTAGACAGAGGAAGAAAGGCTTATGCTACATCCCGATTTTCCACAAGTGTGCACCTGCACTCTCCTCGTCATGCATTTAAAAGGTTTGGTGTAAGCACTTGCTGGAGTGAGTTACCACCATTGTAAAATCCATGCCAAAAACTGGGCAAGTGCACACTTCTGGAAAAGGGTGAATGACCAGAATACAGACACAGAAAGGCACAGAGAAAAAAAGGATGGAGACATACTTTTTCGCTACCGGCCAGATCGACAAGGTAGAGCTTGCCGCTGAGTTTCTGCTCTGTAGCAGTGTTCTCCTGCTTCACGTTGATCTGGAAGATACTGTGACTTCTGGAGCTGTGCTCGTTCATGTCTATAAAACACACACACGTTTACACAATATTACAAATATATTGCTAACAGAAACAGAGAACTTGATGGCCATCTATGATTCTGTAAGGAATCTAATGAATTAATGTTTATTCATAAAGAAGTATACATTAAGAACATCTTTGATAACTAGCATCATTGTCATAATGTTTCACTTTTATTTGATTTTGTTTCCGTTTCTCTATCTTGAGAAAACTAGTTCAGTACAAGTTCTACTGTGTAGATTAACTAGGGCCTACAGATTTTCCTGGTTCCTGGTCAGGAAAACTCCCAGTCCTAATGATGTAATGGCTGTGTAATTGCATCCCAAATGGCACCCTATTCACTATAGTGCATTACTTTTCACCACACTCCTATGGGCACTGGTCAAAAGTAGTCACTATAAAGAGAAAAAGGTTTCATTTAGGACGTAGCCCGAGACTGCTGCGTGAGAGTGGCTTTGTAGATCAGGAGATCAAGACTGTGAAACCAGGCTGTGAGGATCATAATGAACCCATGAGTAGCAGGCGGGACTGAAACAGTCCCAGTGTTGGACTGACTCACTTGTGACGGCCACGTGTCGGTTGGATTTGCCCTCGTCAATAGTATCCATGACCTCCTCGGGGCTGCAAACAAAGCGCTCGGTACACCCCTGGGGACACAGTGAACCAAGGCACCACTGTTTGATTTGACATGGTAGACAAAGAGCCGATTATGATGGAAAACGTAGATAACATTGACATTCAAGTCTGGGATAATCAGGAAGTTATATCGGTATTGTAAAGTTATTTGACTTTCTCCAACCAACCCATAGGATGCATCTGAAGTAGTACTATTTCCTATATAAGTGCACTACTTTTGACCAGCGCCCATATATCAAAACTAGTGCACTGCAAAAGGAATAGGGTGCCATTTGAGACGCACACACAATCTCTCTATTCATCCATTATTCTCTGCATCTACTAATGTCTTACGAATTCATCCACCTGACCAACCAACCGTTCATGGATCTATCTATGGTACCATTATACAGTGCATTGGGAAAGTATTCAGACCACTTGACTTTTTACACATTGTAACAGCTGTATTCTAAAAAGGATTAAATGAATTTTTCCCCACATCAATCTACACACAATACCCCATAATGACAATTACATTTTTACAAATTCATTAAAAATAAAAAACAGAAATACTTTATTTACATAAGTATTCAGAACCTTTGCTAAGAGACTCGAAATTGAGCTCAGGTGCATCCTGTTTCCATTGATCATCCTTGAGATGTTTCTACAACTTGATTGGAGTCCACCTGTGGTACATTCAATTGAGTGGACCTGATTTGGAAAGGCACACACCAGTCTATATAAGGTCCCACAGTTCACAGTGCATGTCAGAGCAAAAACCAAGCCACGAGGTCGAAGGAATTATCAATAGAGCTCCGAGACAGGATTGTGTCGAGGCACAGATCTGAAGAAGGGTACCAAAACATTTCTGCAGCATTGAAGGTCCAAGAACGCAGTGGCCTCCATCATTCTTAAATGAAAGAAGTTTAGTACCACCAAGACTCTTTCTAGAACTGGCCACATGGCCAAACTGCGCAATCGGGGGAGAAGGTCCTTGGTCAGGGAGGTGACCAAGAACCCGATGGTCACTCGGACAGAGCTCCAGAGCTCCTTTTTGGAGTTGGGAGAACCTTCCAGAAGAACAACCATCTCAGCAGCACTCCACCAATCAGGCCTTTATGGTAGAGTGGCCAGACGGAAGCCACTCCTCAGTAAAAGGACAACGATCCTAAGCACACAGCCAAGACAACGCAGGAGTGGCTTTGGGACAAGTCTCTGAATGTCCTTGAGTGGCCCAGCCAGAGCCCGGACTTGAACCCCATCGAACATCTCTGGGAGAGAGCTGAAAATAGCATGTGCAGCGACACTCCCCATCCAACCTGACAGAGCTTGAGAGGATCTGCAGAGAAGAATGAGAGAAACTCCCCAAATACAGGTGTGCCAAGCTTGTAGCGTCATACCCAAGAAGACTCAAGGCTGTAAACGCTGCCAAAGGTGCTTCAACAAAGTACTGAGTAAAGGGTCTGAATACTTATGTATTTCAGTTTGCTAACATTTCTAAAAACCTGTTTTTGCTTTGTCATTATGGGGTATTGTGTATAGATTGATGAGGGAAAAAACAATTGAATCCATTTTAGAATAAGGATGTAACGTAACAAAATGTGGAAAAAGTCAGGGGTCTGAACACTTTCCGAACGCACTGTAGATGTGTTTGGCTCACTTGACCATAAATAAGACTCACCTTGACATAGGGCACCCTGTTTTTATCCTCATGTACAGACAGGTTGTTCTTTGTTACTGCAGAGAGGAAAAAAGCAAAACCAGTATTTTATTATTGCAGTTATTACATTATTTATTATGTTGATCACCATAGTAACAAGGAATCGTCAACAGGCAGGCACCAGCATTTAAAAGCACAAAGCAGCCATTAAAATGATATTTTTCATCTGAATGTTGCAGGTTATAAGTTCACTGTCTAGACAGAAACAACTCAGTTGAAGTAGTACATGTGTGAGGGGAGTAATTACCCAATAGACTATGCCTGCGTCCCAAATGGCACCTTATTCCCTATATAATGTATAACTTTTCACCAGAGCCCTATTGGTCCTGGTCAAAAGTAATGGACTATATGGAATAGGGTGCCACTTGGGACACATCCTGTATCTCCAGAACGGTCAAATGAGGACGCCTGTTGTGCCGCAGCATACAGTACGTACCATCCAGTAGGTCCTTGATCCTGTCCAGGTAAATTTCAAAATATGAAACCTGCAACAGAGATTCCTCTGATTAGAAACAATCTAGATGTGCAGTGTTTTTGATTCAGATTATGTAGCCGATGTGGAATAGCTAGCTAGTTAGCGCACTGTGAATCTACTCTGTCGTGAGTATTAAACTTTTTCCCCTTTTTATTTGGCAACCGAAGCACTTGATGCCAGCTGTGTGGTTGTAGTGCTCCATACCTTGATATGGAACTCCAGGTTCTCGTCCATGGAGTAGATGTAGTTGAAGATGTCCTGGACTATTCTGGGGATGATCCCCATACCATCCGGGTCATGGAGGCTACCCTTTACAGGACAGAGAGACAGGTTTCCATCAAACATAAAACAGTTGAAAGCAGCAGGGTTGGGGTCAAAATTCCATTTCAATTCCATCAATTCAGGAAGTAAACTGAAATTCCAATTTTACTCAATTACTTTCTTTGAGAATTTTTTTTGAATTTCAGTTTACTTTCTGCATTGACGTTTGAAATGGAATTGACCCAAATCCTGGTTGAAAGCATTTGACCAAACCCATTAAGATAGAAGCATGTATAATTTTATAGGCCTCTCTCTCTCTCACCTCCATGGTGTGTGTTTTTCCAGACGATGTCTGCCCAAAGGCAAATATAGTCCCATTGTAGCCCTCAAGAACATCTGTGTATGGAGGAAAAGACAGTTATTAAATAATTACTTTAAACTGCCTAAAAGGTTTACACTGGTAGCATAGTATCACAGCTAGCTAGCTACCTGGGCTTGCTGCATCCATCCTTCCATACCTTTGACAATCTTTTGAGCAGAGGCTTTGTACATCTGCTCCTGTGTCGTATTGGACCCGAACACTCTGTCAAACATGAACGGTTTACCCTGTAAGGCGAAAGGAAAGTCAAATCAGCAACAAAGAATACTTAGACCTCTCAAGAATAGCAAGAAAAGGTGATTAGGAAAAATATCCAAACAAATAATTACTGTAACTTGCTCTAATGTTGACATTTACTTAGGGCTGGGTGGTATACCGTATTTTACTATATACTGGTATTGATGCAAGGACCGGTTTGGGTTTCTATTTGACCTTCTATAACAATATGTTAGGGCTGACCCCATTTAGTTGACTGGTCGATTGTTTGGTTGATAAATATTTTTTTAGTTGAGCAGTGGCAAATATATTGTAAAAAATAATTATGGCACACGAGACACCTGTCTGATTCACACCTGTCTGAGTGGACAAATTTTTTACATTTTCATTTAGTCATTTAGCAGACGCTCTTATCCAGAGCGACTTACAGTTAGTGAGTGCATACATTATTTTGTTATTTTTCATACTGGCCCCCTGTGGGAATCGAACCCACAACCCTGGCGTTGCAAACGCCATGCTCTACCAACTGAGCTACATCCCTGCTGGCCATTCCCTCCCCTAATCTGGACGACGCTGGGCCAATTGTGCGCCGCCCCATGGGTCTCCCGGTCGTGGCCGGCTACGACAGAGCCTGGATTCGAACCAGGATCTCTAGTGGCACAGCTATGCAGTGCCTTAGACCACTGCGCCACTCAGGAGTATAATCCATTGGAGGCCGTGGGGATGGCACACCAGTAGTACATGTACCGTTAATTACCATAATTTCTAATCTACAATGTTTGTTTACGGTAATTTCTGTTAATGCATTCAATATTATTTTACAGTCTTACCGTTGTCATTGTAGGAGTGGACACGTTGTTTGCAGAGCGCACAACCTAACCTTTTGTTTGGAGAACTCCTGTCAATCTTGAGTAAGGACACGCACCTGATTACTTATAGAACTAGGCTACCTGGCCTGCGCGCAAATGTAAAAAAATGTGCCCACTTGGGGATCTGATACTATTTCTGATTGTTTTAACTCACCATCACTGTGGCGCTTCTCAGAGTAACTTTTTCTTCTCCTCAAACAGCAAGTAAACAAAGTCTGTTTTTATATCCATTGAGAATGACAATGGTTCCTCAACCTATTTGAAAAATCTTTCCAGCACTCTCCCTTTCGATGACCACTCGGCATGAAAGGGGGGGGGGGGGGGGGGGAAATGTAATGCTCTGATCCGGTGGAAACGTCATAAAATGGCCTACATTATTTTTTTTTTTTATCTCTTAGCCTACAGCTGTGTGTGTCTGTCTGTAAGGAGCTCACTAGCGCTGGAAACTGAGGGCCCAGAATATTTTATACAATGTTATAAGTTTGCTAGCATGAGGGTCGGGCCTGACCAAGTTTAATAGTTGATACAATGTTTCAAGTTCCTTGCAGACAGGCCATGCATAGCCAAAGTGATTTATAGGATATTTATTTTTATCAGGATATTTTCCACCTAAATGAATGCTGGCTGCAATGTTTTTATTTGTTGCCTTTATGTAGGCTATTTTTACATAATGGCAATAAAAGTTACTTTTAGATGTATCATTTTCATTTAGATAGAATTTTGATTAACCAAATGACATTGATTGAGATAAGATTTTAATATAAATTAAAATGAAAAGGTTCCACAAAAATGTGCATATGAAAAACATCAGATGAATCATCAGCAAGCAGATCAGTAGAAAATGGTATGATAACTTGGCACTCCAAATGGAAAAAGTTGCCGACCGTTGGTGTAGCCAATTACCGGCAACTTCAGGAGCATAATGGCAGAACCTGCAAAAGCCAGCAGCAGGAGGTTAATAATTGATCTCTGACTGCCTCTTTAGTAATTTGTGGGTCTTCATTTTAAAATCGCAGTGCTTAAAGCATCAGACAAGCTCAGTATTCAAACATAGCGCGTCTATATTGACAAATGTTACATTTAAACCAATCGACCAAGATTATTATTTTTATTTATTTTTTCGGGGACAGCCCTACGGTATTTCAATGTTTGGTTTGTTAAATGTGATAGTGCCATGTGTAACGTCCGTTTTTTTTTGTTAGCTACTTGAGTCCCTCTTCTCCTGCATGCCACTTTCCACACCAAGCCCCGTCATTCAGGGAGAGCAGTTGTTGCGCGACCACGGAATCACGAGCACTTGCCGACAAGTTGCCATTCACAAGATGTGGGTCACAACGATGCTGCTTTCCACTTTGCTTATTAATATAAAGCCACAATCATTCTATAATTACACTATTAGTTTGTGTATCTTACTGTCTGCAAAAGGCAAGTTTGTCTTTCCTTAGCAAGTTGTGGCTAAATTGTGTTAGCCACTAATGCTAATTGCTAGTTAGCTGGATAGCTAGTTCGCTAAATGTACAAGAGTCAGAGCAAACGTAGCTAGCTAATACAGCCTGATACCAGTGCTGGTGTATGCCTAAATCAGCATGTTGTTTGTGCAACGATATCTTATAAATCAGAGAGGGATAGGCGAAGCCTGAATGGGTTAGCTACAGAAAACATGTAATGTAACATCTAATTAGCTTCCCCTGGGAAACACTTAGACACTTGGTTGTTTGACATGACCGGGTAGGAACCAAAGTATTCAAAAATGTATTCAAAAGTGCTGCCCACTTTATTCTAACAATATAAATTAAAACGTATAATAAGATTTCCATGATTCCAATAGTTCACACAAGTGTTTTGTTCTAAATCGCAAGTCAAAATCACAATTTGGAAATGATAAATGAGTGCAGGAAATGCAGAAATTCATGAAAATGCAGAATTTTTTGGTGATTGAAGTTGGATTGAACTAGAAAAGGCACTCGCACACTAGTTTCGGTTTGCTCTTAGCAGAACTTGGCTAGGCGAAGCGAATGCATGTGCCTCGCATACTCCCTTAAGACCCGCTTGGGGAAAAAAAGGGGGGGGGAAGGCAATATTATGTTTTGTCCCTCGAGACGCCATAGCACCAGTTCCTCAAAAGAGTCAGAATATTCCGAAGATAAATCAAGAAATCTGTAATTAATTTGACCTTTTTGTCGAGGAGGTCTTGGTGGCGGAATTTTACATCCAACTAAGCTGTTTGGTGCAGTATTTCTCAACAGAAATGTTGCATGAAAAACTAGTAATCTCGTTGAACGACAAACACTTAATTGAAGAATCCCTACTAGAAGTAGTACGGTTGACCAATCACCGACGAAGGGGCTTAGACGTCGGCTACCAAACTTGACTTGCCTCAAAAGAGCTGAGCAAACAGCCCCCCCCAAAAAACCTGGCAAACACACTATTTTTATTTATTTATTTATCTCATAATATATGCGCGAACCGGCGGGTCACGTTTAGACTGGGAAGCCTTAAATCCATCAGAAGGGAGAAAGCCCCATTGAAATCACTTAGGGTGGCAACACATACATTCTAAGGACATGCACTACCCATAATGCATATATATATATATATATATATATATATATATATATATATATATATATATATATATATATATATATATATATATATATATATATATATATATATATATATATATATATATCTATCCACATATACACACAGTGGGGAGAACAAGTATTTGATACACTGCAGATTTTGCAGGTTTTCCTACTTACAAAGCATGTAGAGGTCTGTAATTTTTATCACAGGTACACTTCAACTGTGACAGACGAAATGTAAAACAAAAATCCAGAAAATCACATTGTATGATTTTTAAGTAATTAATTTGCATTTTATTACATGACATAAGTATTTGATCACCTACCAACCAGTAAGAATTCCGGCTCTCACAGACCTGTTAGTTTTTCTTTAAGAAGCTCTCCTGTTCTCCACTCATTACCTGTATTAACTGCACCTGTTTGAACTCGTTACCTGTATAAAAGACACCTGTCCACACACTCAATCAAACAGACTCCAACCTCTCCACAATGGCCAAGACCAGAGAGCTGTGTAAGGACATCAGGGATAAAATTGTAGACCTGCACAAGGCTGGGATGGGCTACAGGACAATAGGCAAGCGGCTTGGTGAGAAGGCAACAACTGTTGGCGCAATTATTAGAATATGGAAGAAGTTCAAGATGACGGTCAATCACCCTTGGTCTGGGGCTCCATGCAAGATCTCATCTCGTGGGGCATCAATGATCATGAGGAAGGTGAGGGATCAGCCCAGAACTACACGGCAGGACGTGGTCAATGACCTGAAGAGAGCTGGGACCACAGTTTCAAAGAAAAACATTAGTAACACACTACGCCGTCATGGATTAAAATCCTGCAGTGCACGCAAGGTCCCCCTGCTCAAGCCAACGCATGTCCAGGCCCGTCTGAAGTTTGCCAATGACCATCTGGATGATCCAGAGGAGGAATGGGAGAAGGTCATGTGGTCTGATGAGACAAAAATATAGCTTTTTGGT